CTCAAACCATACCGAAAAGCAACCGTTCCGTATTTTCAACATTTATACAATGAATGTTTTGCTGAATGAAATGAGAGAACCGATTTTGCGCAATTTTATAAATTTCCCGCCATTTTTTCCCCCCTTTTTTCGAAATTTAAATATTTAACAGCACAATATTAAATGACATTGTAAACGCAATATTTGATTGGTATTTTGAAATTTAGTAGCTAAATATCTTTCCTGTCAACTTTGTGATTTGTTTCTAACTTGTAGGTGTTATTTGTGGTACCGATGAAGGGGTGGGCCTAACAAGGTGGGCTCGTCGCTTGTGACCCATTTTCGACCCGTTCTCGACCATTCGTCATTCGAGTTATCACAATACCTCTTCTCATACTTAATCCGTTCGATTCAGTCTTCATGCATCGCAAAGAACTTTCCAAGAAACTTCATTTATTCTTTTTTCTTTTTTTGTTAATTCATTTCCCTTAACGGATTTTTTCTAAAAGAAGTGTAAAGTATATGTGTAAATATTTAATTAATTTAATTTAATTAATAAATATTTAAGTCAAATTTTACTTTATAATTTTATATTTTTTAAAAATCTATTTGGTTTTAATTTTTTCAATTGTTAAATTTAATAAATAATTAATTTTTAATAATTAACAAACAGAAAAATAAAAATCTTATTTAAAATCTTTTTAAAATGTTTGTTTATAGTTTTTAAAAGAAATATTTTTCTCCCTTTTAAAATAAAAAATCAAATTAAAAATGATTTCGTCCCTTTTCTAACAATAAATTTAATTGTATATACAAATACAAATAATAATATATTTTAGTTGTTGCTGCGAATAACGATAAAATATTAATCGATTGGAGGTTTAAAGAAAGAAATTAGCTGAGAAACACAACGGGAGAGTATTATAAGGAGAAGAGAGGCGGACACAAAAAGAAATATGGAAGGATTTTTTTTATTAGATATTCAATGTGTTTGAAAATTAAGAGAAAGAGAGAGAGAGAGACGCGCGCGCATCTGTCCTAATATAAACACTCTGTCTATCTCCAGTTTTAATTATATTTTTTATTTTCTCTATTTATTAATTTTATTATTTTTGCTTATTCGCATAATTATTTTATTATATCATTTAAATGCATTCATTGCCTTTATTTTTCACCAGTAATATCGATTGGAGGCCTCTTGGCCCATGTTTGATTCTATTTTCGACGCATTCTTGATCCCTCCTCAGATAATCCAATGTTTAAAATATTTTAAAAAGTTTCATCGACTTTTTAATTTGATAGTTGTATTTTCATTTCTAATTTATTTTTTTCATGAGTTTTCCAGCAAAAAAAGCGAAATTTTTGCTTTTTAAGTGATATTTGATACTTAAATAAACTTAGTAGTAGTGAATGGTGAACAGTGCCAAATGGAAACCGACCGACCTTGCACAACCCACCGGAACTTGCTTCGGATAATCCACACATGAGCTGGTGTGCACGTCTGCATTGAATGATTCATGAATATTGAATGATTGATTCTTGAGTAATTGAATCAGTATTGACGAAATAGGATGGTTAAGGCTCATCGCGTTGGTGAGTCGCATATTGCTTCGCTTTCGAGCAAATGTCCTAGGTTCGATTTCATTTTTTTGGAGATTAGTGCTATTAGTGGAATGATGTAGAGAAACGATCTCCAGTCATTCACCAGTCAGATAGCCAATCGAGCCAGCAAAACAGGATTAGGTGAGTTTATCAGCAAAAAGACTGCATTTTAATTTGTGAGTGAATCATTCACGTGTTAAAGAGAATAACCCGAGAATGAACTGGATGGCTGAATTATATTCGTTACCAGTTTTATAAAATGGTCGACCTACTCAGTCCAATAGTATTGGCGGCATTGTTAGCATTTTATATCTCTGCCCAAATTCGTTTTGCCTTTTTGACATTTCCTTGCTAAGCCCCTTTTTCCATGTTCTTTTTCTTCGGAATTATTCGGAATCCTGGTTCACGCTCTCTTCTTGGTTCCTTTAAATGAACAAATGCACCCAAACTGTTAGAACCGAAACATCTCTGCCATTAAACCCACGCATACTTCCATCGTCAAAAGACTCCTTGGGCCCTTTACAAATGTGTGAACGAGAAATGGTGAATGTTAACCACTTTCCTACCAAACAAATATTTTTGTGAAATCTGAGTCTTCAAAAAATAATTAATTTCTCGAATAATTTAATAATTTATTGTACAATAAAAATTTAAAGAAAAATAGCAAAAAGGCTATTCAGTAAAATATTGCATAATTCAAGAGATTTCAACTCAAAAAAACGACGAAATACATTCAATAATAATGAAAAATTTAAAAAATTTAAAATTGAAAAATTTCAGCAAATTCCAAAACCAAATCAGATTTTTTTCTTCATATTGATTCCTTCCTTTTTTTACTTGTTTCACTTGTTTTTTACGTCCTCTCTATGGAAAATGGAAAAAATTTCAGAAAATTGCTATTTAAGACATCGAGCAATTTGCATGAAAATTGAGAAATCGCCTCTTTGCAAATAACCACACCGAAGAACGTACGTTTTTCTCCTCAATTTTTTCGAAAAAAGAAGCTATACTCGTTAAAATAACCCAGCGGGCGGCATTTCTCTTTTGTAACTGCGTTTCAGCCCTTTAAACCCAACAATTATAATTGTAATTCTTTCGAAACAACAACTATGCATGTTATTTTGCGACGCCACAACAGCGAACATCAAATATAAACAGACACAAAAGCTTACTCAAAAATAAATAAAAGACACTTGTTTCATAAAAAAACCATTTCAAAGATAACACTGACTGTTTAAAAAAAATAAAATAATATGGAAAAATTGAGCGAAATTTTCCGCAAAACTCTGTGCGTCACAGGACTTTTTTGCGAATTCTTCTGTAACAATCCATATCTTTGAAATAACCAATTTAAATTCTTACTTTTATTTAAATTACTTCAAGTAAGAATTATAAAATTACATGCGAAAATATAAGAAATGCATAAATCATATGGGCAATCAAAAATAAAAATTTTACAAAAATAAAAACCAGGTAAATAATCTTCCACCTTTGAGGTTTTGCTTAAAGCAAATATTCCTTTTTAATTGCGAAGATCCAAAGTGCTTTTTTTTTATTTGGCGAAATATTTAAAAATATAAACGCTTAAAAATTTCACCGAAGTTTGAATGAGAAACGCTGTTTTAATACTTTATAAAAATTTTAAGTGAGAGAATGGAAAACTTGAATGAGCGAACCACGTTTGAAAAACTGGAGATTTTCGAAAAAAAGCATATAGCATAGCACAAAAATGATACTTTTACTATAAACAACAGCCAAAAAATCAAAATAGACCTGTTCATTTTTTAATGAACTGATTCTAGTTTATAAATTTATGAAAGAATTATTTTTAAAAATTTTTCCTCTTTAAAATCTATATAATTAAAAATAAAGAAGCGAGAGCTGTTAATTGCAAAAGTAGTAGCAAGTAGCTGCAAAAGTTAAAATACGTTTTACCGAAAAAAAATCCATATTAACGACTAGGAAGCAACAAAAACTGCATTTTTTTATAACCTACGTTTAAAGTTCATCACTGAAAATTTATAGTTTCCATCATTATCAAATGCTTGAAGCTAATGTGCCAGCTTTCACATTGTTAATTTCACAGTTCGCAGTTCACCCACATTATTCTTCATAATGAACTCATTTTTTGGCTTAAAATTAGCTAAACTGTAAAACTATTTTTTTGTAGAGATGAAAATCTTTATGAGACCTAATGGGACTTCGCAAATGAAAAAAAAATTCTACAAAAAAATTCTGGTAATAGTAACTTATTAATATCCTACAATAACCTGTAAAAAAACGATAACCTAGAATGTGTTACATATTTCAGATAAAAAAATTTTTAAAATGCTTTTGTATGCACAAAATGTTGTTTAATTTTACGATGATCTGATGTCTGGTTCAAACTGATAATATTGTTATTTTCTTGTGATTCCATGTCATCATCATCTTTTTGACAATTACCCGGACGTTTGTATGCATCAAAGCTCATTATCTCACCTTTTTCATTAACATCGTCTTCTTGTTTTGGTAATTCTAAATCACGTACATTAAATATTTGTGGTGTATTTGTCGACGCAGTTGATGAACCAGTCGCTGAAAATTATTTATGTGAAGTTAACTATGCTGATTTTTGCCTTAAGAAGAGTTAAAATTATGAAACTAAAACTATTTTATAAAACTATTAATCTAAATGAACTATTTCCATTTCAGACTTTCATACGGCGTCCTTCACAAATTGTTTTCCAGGACGATGCCATCCCAAGTTAATCAAAATAAAAACTCATTTAACTTAGATATTCACCTAAAGCAAAAAATAAAAAACTCGAAAGCTTTGCTTAAAAAACAGAAAAAATTCAGACTTAGCTCGTTACATTATAAATCGAATCATGCATAACATAATAAATTGCAAATAAAAGACTTCAATTAATTTAAGGACAAACCCTGATTTACAATTTGTATTGCCGATTAAAGTTTTTTTTCTAAAGCTACTAATATAAAATCCCTTCACCACTGAATAACCTAGCGATAAAGTATAAATGAATATTCATCTCCACTTGAATTTAAGCTTTAGTGATAAGTTTATTCCTTCTCTTGGTATAGAAATACAACCTATGATGATATGAAGCAATATATCACTCGACAATCCTATCCTCCTCCGCCCTCTTCCCCCAAGCTGATTCTTGTAGTTTCTTTTGATAAGGGAATTTCAAATTGCACCAAATGCGAATTAAAGTACTGCTGACCAGTTAAAATAGGTCAGAAATAAGTGATCCAACTCAGCCACTGATGCAAGTAAAAATTGCTAAAGATGAATTGCAACACAATCGTTTTCTCATTAATTAAACCTCAAATCCTTGAAAAATATCCAATAAAATTATATTATATACAAGCGGGAATAAAAAATGTAATGGAAAATCGAAATTTAATGAAGATATTTATAAGATATTTTTAAAATAACCTGTCATGGCTTGATTCATCATCTGAGAAACTTGCTGGCTCAAAAAATTTTGCGACAACATATCCGCCATAAAATTGCCACCTGGAGGTATACCAGCTGTTGCTCCAGTCATCGCTCCTTAAAACTTAACCTCTCAAAATTCGAGAAATAACTCACTAAACCAATAGAAATGGAAAAACGTTTGAAAGAAAAAAAAATGGGCTTAACTGATATTTTAATTGAATCTGAAAAGCAATTTAAAGATAACATGATAGACTTGAAAAAAATACATACTTGACATATTAGATAACGCCCCCGCCGGCAAGCCCAATTCGATCTCCTTTTGTCGCTCGGTGATTCGTGATACAAGTTTCATTGCCCATGTTAATTTCAACTTGACCTGTCCACCATGTTCCTCCAAAAGACCGGGAGCTTTATCAAGTATATAACTTCGAGCGATAGCAAGTGCTTGTGAAGCTGTCATATGACCACGAGGATCCGCTTGTTTTATCTGTAAAATACAAAATGCATAAGCATAAATTTTTGCCTTTTAAAGGTACAAAATATGACAATATAAATTGCTGTTCATAAAATTCATAAGTACATTCAACACTTTTAAATTAAATCTATTCCAATCTAATATATTGATTCAATTCCAAATAAGCTATGAAGAAAACACTCTTACATAAAAAGAAAATTAAAATAAAAGCAAACCTGAACCATGTAATCAACAAGTTCTGCATCCAATTCATCACCAATTAATTTTGGCCGACCGCGACCTCTTCCTCTCAAAAATCCCGGACTTCCGCTACAGTGTGCGGGATTCGTTGCGGTTTGCTTAAAGTTCACGAAAATTGATGCAAATTTCAAAAAATATATTCGAAAACATTGACATGAATCAAAACTTGAAATCAACCTTCATCAACTCCGAAACTCCTGAAATACCGGCAGTACAATTCATGTTCCAATCACCATTTGTGCTATCACCATCCTCTGAAGCTGTAGTAGGAGAATCTGCATTTCTCGCGGAAGGTGCACTTGTCGAAACTGTTGTTGTTAAAAGTTCTTTAAAAAAATCAAATGAAATAAAATGTTGTAAAAAGTTTTCATAAAGTTTATTTCATTTCATTACTTTTTAGAAGAAACATGTATAAAGAAACTTGCAAAGAATATACCGGGTGGTTTGCTGTTCATTTTTCGTTGATAATATGACGCAACTTGAGCAGGAATATTGAATTTTCTTGCTGCAGCAGTAGCACCATGTAGATTAGCATATTCAGCAACAATTTTTTTATCGGAAGGTGCAACATATTTGGATTTTCGACCACAAGTACTAACAGCAAAATCTAAAAAACATCTTCACTTTTTGTTACGTTACTTGATACTGTTTTTCATTGTCCTACAAATTAACCATATATTCACAAAAATCCGAGCGTTAATTCGAAAACATTTTCTATCTAAGAGAATAAAAATCAGGTCCTCTATCCTCCTAATACAATGAAAAAATTGAGTCAAACTAGACAATACTATAGACAAAAGATAAAAGATAAAAATCTTCCAATATTTTTCATATATAAAGAAAGTCCAGCAAAAATTTCTTACGCAATTCATTGATGAACGGTTTTTTCCGAATCCATTCAAAAAAAAAAAATTAAAGTCAAAAATCAAATAAAAATATAAAATTAACCATTTCGACTTCGAGATTCTGTAGACGGCAAATTTAGGCCTAAATTACTTAATCCAGTTAAATTTGCTCCACCTAAAGGATTTAGCGCAGATGTGGCCATTATCTGCGATAAAAATGCTTCACAGTCGTTCATACTTGGCCCATTTGATAATTGTGGAGCATTATTAGTTGTTGCATTCACCTAAATATATTCCTCGGACTATTAAAATTTAATCAAAAAGCTAGTTTCAAAATGGATCTGACTGCAAACTTGCAAGCTTACTAAATTCTCGTTACAATAAAAGTTTTTTGCACTACCGATTCACGCGAAATAAATCAAATCTTTGTAAAAGAAAGATTTGAATCCATATTTTTTCTTGAATTCATTTATAAATTCCATAAAAAATCCTATTTTCTCTTACAATTCCCTGTTATATTTAATAACGTTCTTCTCTAAATCAATTGCTACCGAAAAAAATACCAAAAAGAGGAAATAAATGATAAATGAATTTTTCAAAAACTTCGACATGAAAGAATAAATATAATAAATTCAAAAAACACCTCTTTCGATACATTTGCCTGATCACCTATACCATTATTTTCAACAATATCATCACCACCATGTTCAATTTTTATATTTTCGTCCCTTTTTGCACTCATTTTATTACGTTTTGTTTTATTAAACAACTGTATATGACTGGTATAAATCGTGTTGCAATGATCGCACTTGCACGCTGGAACGTGTAATGAATTCACAATTAGTGTCATCTGAAAATTTTTAAATTTTATTGCATATTTCCCCCTATGTCCATCATTTAAAAAGTCAATAAAAGTAACTTTCAAGAAGATTCTACGGCCAATCACTATACAATCATACTTATTTATCATGTTTTACTAATATCTACCATTAACTTAAACTATAATTTCATAATAGACCAAATTAAATAACTGTTCAATTCATTAAAAATTAACATTAATTTTAACATAGTACTGAAAATAGCATTAATTATAATATAGTAATACGGTATTAATTATAATATAGTACTGAAAATAAGAGGTTCGTATCCTATCTCCAATGGAACTGAACCTTCCATTAAAAATTTGGGTGATGCTCGCTTCTAACTACACTTCTATCACGAAATTTACATGCTCATATTATCAAAACTGGTGTTTCTAAAATTAAAATTTCGAAGCAGTTCATTGTCAAAACTGAAAGATGAATGAATAATATACTTGATGTGACAAATAAACCATATTCGCCTTAATTAGTTCGAGCTCATCTCTTAAGCCTGACTCATTTAAATGACTCTCCTCGATCCTCTGACTGCCATACTCGCCATGCATTCCTTCATCGCAACATATCTCCATTTTACAGCTAAAATTATTTACGAAGTAGCGAGATGAATTCATTAGAGCTACGGCAGAAAAAACGAGTTACAATAACATCAAAAGTCCACAACAATAAAAAAAATATGACTTCGACTTCAATGCAAATGGAATAATTTGTTATTAGTGGATTAATAAAAAATTTAAGTGACAGAAAAACGCGGCCGCAGTCTTATGAACTGAACCTCGGTCCTCTACAATCGATTGCCATTCCTTAATATTCACTAATCATAGTTTAGAAATATCCTTCAAGCAACTCATTAACCCCTTTATAGTAAAGTCGCAACCCACGAAACCTCACGTAACTCTTTATCAAGACCAACAGGTAACATCCTCGTTTGCCCCACTTAAATATTTTTAGATCGAGTAAAAGAGCCCGTAAACACCACTCATTCCCTTTATATTTCGTTGACGCTCCATCAAAACTCTCAGTGTTTTTATCACCGCGATTATTAAATATCATAAAAACGCAAAGATTAACAGGAGTGCGAGTATTGAAGGACAATATAACTAGTCAATAACAAGAGATGTCAAGGGGCAAGGGACGGGTTTAACTAGTCAATAACATGGGACGGGAAGACAATTTCATCCACCTTCAGGCCGGATTCTTTGAATGTTTAAACTTATAGGAACCTATAGGACATGTTCCTGCCTTTCATTCCAATGGAACGCCAAATGTATAATGGTTGAAAAACAAACTTGTTGGTGACATGAAGGTTGTCTTCTCGATTTACATGACCTGAACTATCGGTGATCTGTGCAAGTAATGCGCGGGTCATATCTTGAGCTGAACACTCTTTATTCAATACAACATTATGACTGTTTAGATCATTCATTATTTTATACTTAGCACTGCAAAAAAAATTGGCAAAATTGGTAAATTTAATTTTAGGAAAAAGTAAATAAACACCACTATCAGAAAGAAATGCGCTACCTCAATTCTCTATGATACAAAGATACAAACAGCGGCAAAGAACTCATGTTCGCATGTTATTTTTTCCTTTCCTCTCCGTACTTCCTCTCATCCTCCTCACCAGACCTATTCTGTTTTCTCCAACAAATTTATAATCTATTCGCCTTTGCCTTCACCCTTTTTGCCAAAGGTTATCTCACATTTTTATGAGTCTGACATCATATCAGATTCAATGAAATTACGTTTAAGTAATTATATAACGGTGCTATGCAGAGGAAATCACATCAAAATGCGTTTTAAAAACTTTAGAACACCAATTTAAAACATCTAATCTTTAGATTTATAAGTAAAGACTGAAGCAATATTTACGACTTTCTTAAAAAAATAAAAATATGATAAACATTCAAAAATTAACAATTGGTAGATGGCATAATAAATCGGTCGGAGGTGATTAGTAGAAAGTCGTGGACTATGAATAATTATTATATTAATAATTATAAGAAGCGATTTCTACGTAAAACTACAAAATTAACATTCAAATTTTACATAAATCTGCAACGAAACATCGAAAAATATTGGAAATTACGAAATTATGAAAAAAGCCATTTTTGGCAACAGTAGAGTTTTTTTTCAGATGGACAAGCAGCTTTGGAATTCTTCGAAGAAATATTTTCCAGAGGGTGGATAGCCACTTTTCGGCTAAGTGAGACACTGGAGCTGCCACTTTCAGTCAAATCAGGAACGAAGCAAATCGACGAGCGAAAAGTTATCACCGAAGAGATGAAAGGTGCGAGGAGGAACGCTGCCAGAGCAGTCGATTTCATCGGAACTGCCTTCGAATAAGGAGCAATCCGCTCGGAACGGAAAGAGCGAAACCCCAGAATTCGAATTTCCTTCCACTTTGAAGGAACTTTTAAAGTTTTTAGAACGACTTAAATCCAAATTAAATCCATCTTAAGCAATAAATGCACTGAACCGACGACCAAAAAATTGCTGCCAATGCAGAAATGAGATCTGAAATTTAAATAATTCGCACACAGAGAATAAACAATTAAAATTGAAATTTTAAAAAGTAAACAAAAAAACAATTTGATAAAACAAATAGATGAAATATCGCCTTAAAAATCCGAGCCTGCAATTTATAAAATGGCGGCCACGATGAAGTTTCGCGAGCATTAATTTCTCCAGTCGCTCATCTGTGGATTACTCGCGCAAGACTTAGTTCTTTGACCTGCGATATTAGGCGATTTCAGGTGGTTATTGGCGGTCCTCTTACTATAATGAGCACAATGTCAGGCTTGTGTTGATGACCGAAAGAGGAAAACCTATAACGGTGGAACAACTCGTAATATTAGCTGTTTCCCCTTTCTGCTTCCTTATGCAATTCGCTTTTTCCTGTTATAATTCCTCGAGAGTACATCCTTGCATTTCGTCAGATATAATTTATAATTCCAACATCAGAACAAAATTCTTCACGTTTATAAATATATACTGAATATGTTTTTTGCAGCTCTTCTTATTCCCCATTCGATTTATTCGATTCCAAAATTCCCCGTATTTCCTGAAATCTTTTCCTAAATGATTAAATATTCACGCAATTATTTATAGGAATTAGAATTCGTAACAATACAAAGGTTTGCTCAAATAATCGACTAATAATGGCAAAAATTCATTTGTCCACAACAAATCGCCCTGCGGAATAAAACTTAGAGAAAACGTAGATAGGTTTGCCTGAAGTGGAATCGGTGGAAAAAGAAGAAAGAAGCGAGCCGTCATAATTCGGCGTGATGCGAGTTCGCCGCATAACTAAACGAGTAATAAAACGCAGGCACAATTTCAATAATGATAATGTAAAACTTCACGACGTATTGTATTGAATTCACGAAATAGAACTGAATAGAATATAAGAACCATATTAAATGGAATTCGGAAATAGAATATAAAAGTCGCTTTAAATGAACAAAACGAGCCAATTAGATAAATTAGAAATTTTCCTCGAATCAGTTACTTTTCATTTTTTAAACTTTTTGCGAATAAAATTTGATTTGACAACGACGATGCGAATGAAACTCAACTTTGAAATTCATATAAATAAATAAATGATTGTTTTTGGCGAAGTCAACTCCGCTGTGAGTAATTTTCAGAAATTTTTGCTAAGAAGTCAGCTAAGAACTGTTAAAGCGATTCAAATAATCGTCAGCACCATACGAATAAATTCAGCATAAAATTTAGAATAAGTAAGAAAAATTTTAATTGTAAATATTAAATATATAATATAATATAAATGACTAAATCATATGACGCACAGCAGAAATAAAATTTTTGGAACAAAAA